TTCCATAGGTGTCGGCTGAGGCCTCCTGGTACCCGCGGGTTCCTCAGGTGTTGGCTGAGCCCTCCTGGGCACACCGGTACCCGCGGGGCCACTGCCGGAGCCGCGAGCGGCGGCGACCCCGCTGGGGCTGCCCCTTTGGTACCAGTTGCTGGCAAAGAGCAGCAGCCTGTGTCTCTGAAATGTATCAGCAGTTGTGCGCAAAAGATGAACAGGAGCTTTATTCTTTAGTGACTGTAACAAACAGCTGCCTTTAGTTCCTACGGTCTCTGATAACCCATTTAGTTCATAGATTTTTCTGAGTCTTCCTTATATGCGCCAACAGTAGGTTTTTGTTTTCTGCAGCTATTGATTTCGCTTCTTCCAGGCATGACTTGTCTTCCTCCTACATTCTGCATCAGCAAAGGGCAGAATTAATGACCACTGAATCTTAAGAGATCTATACCACAGAATGCAAGTTAACTTGCCTGAGAAAAACTAGCCTCGGTGATACTGATACCACTTCTAAATGTTCATGTAAACTTCTTCAGCACTTTTTCTGAATATCTTGTGTTTGAGTTCTCTAGGTTTTCATTTCATGAGTTATGGAAGTCACTGAGTCTCATAGTTTCCTTTTTGAACAATGTTTAAAATATATACATGTCTGTTTAAAACATAACTTGTGTTTTCTTGTGTTATTATCTATTGAGTGCAGTGGTATAATAAGTCTAAAATAAATGTTTTTATATGCAGGATGGAGACTGATTGCAATCCTATGGAGTTGGCCAATAATACAGGGTTTGAAGAAGATTCTGATTATAGAGACTTCGAAGGAACAGACGTGAAAGATATGAGACTAGAAGCTGAAGCTGTTGTAAATGATGTTTTGTTTGCTGTCAGCAACATGTTTGTGTCAAAAACCCTTCCCTGTGCAGAGGATGTGGCATACATCAATGTGGAAACCAGGGAAAGGAACAGATACTGTCTGGAGCTCACTGAAGCGGGACTTAGGGTAAGCCAATTTTTGTAATTTCTTAAACTTCTTTGTTTTGAACAATGACCATATTCAAAAGGTGCCTAGAAAAATACTTTACTGACAACCACACATATTCCTCTTGTACTTTTATGAAAGCCTGATCTACATGTTTTCTTCTAGAAGAGGGAACTTTAGCTAGTTACTTGCAACAAAGCTAGAAGAGAAGTTAATAAAAAACCAGGAATTTATTTAAGACACAAAATGGCGAAGCCAGAATAAGTAATTTGTTACAGGTACGTCAAGCTTTGGGTTTCTCAGGTACCCAAAGTCAGTAATGCAACTTCTATACAATTTTTTTTTTGTACCATTTTTAATTTTTATACAGACATGTAGATGTGAGACTTCTTTACAAACAATGTATTTTACTAACACATTCTGAGATTTGGACAAAAGGTATTTGAAATTGTCTTAAATACTGTCTAACCAGTAAGCTCCACAGTATAAAGAAGAGACTGTGATTTAAATTCAGTATTTTTTGTTCTTACAGGTTAGGTGTTGTGCTACATGTACCAAGGTGATAATCACCACAGAAATTTAACCACCCAATTCTTTGTTGCAGGTAGTAGCTTATGACTTTGATCAGACTGATGATAGACTGCAAACTCCATATCATGAAACTGTCTACTCCTTGTTGGACTCTCTCAGCCCTGCGTATCGAGAAGTGTTTGGAAATGCATTACTACAAAGACTAGAGGCTTTGAAGAAAGAAAGTCAGTCATGACTTACCCAGACATGAGGAAGATTTAGTGCCAGAAGGAATTCTTACTATGAAGCACTGAGATCTTCCTTACAAACATCTTAAGCCTCATTTCTTGGATTAAAGTCTACTTCATGTTACTACACTATTATATAACATTTATACGTTATAAGAAGTATATTATATAACATTTTGCTACCATGGTTTTGCATATATCTCAATGTTATGAAAAGCCACTTTGATAAATAGCAGAAAAAATTCTTAATTTTACTTTCTGTTGTAAATGAGCATGTAAGTTGCTCCATACAATGTTCAAAAACCTTGGTCTCTTTTCCAAGTCTTAGTATTCAAAACTAAAAAAATAGAGACTGAATGTTATAGATATAAGTAGTAATTCTTTGTGTGTGTGCTTACTGATAATTTTCATGCCTTGTTTTTAAAACAGAAGGTAACTACTTGCTCTACCCAATTAATGAAAAAATTACTGGAAAACTTCTGCAAGGAATTCCTGCTTGATTTGCTATACGTAAATCTGAAAGTTGTCAGCTTTGTAGCTTGAAAGATGTTCTTCAACAGTTGAGCATTGCTTATATAGTGGCAGTATCTGTGTTAAAAGCAAGGCTCAGCGTTAATTAATCTGTACTTGTCTATGGCAATCAGCAAGCTCCAAATAATACACAAGATGAACTGCTTATATATGAATGTATTGTCTGAAACACAAATGATTAAGCACAGAAATAATGGGCTACACATTTCCTAAAAATTATGTTCTCTATGCTATAAATATGTACTGCAACTGTTTGAGAGGCTTGGAAGGCCTGTTTACTATTTTGAATGTGTATTTACGTGATGTACAGGATATACTCAAGAGTATTTTTGCTTTACTTTCTATAATACAGTACTTTGGTACTCCCAGTTTTCACGTTTTCTCCCTCAATTGTACAGTGTCCTCTCCTAATGAATACTAAATTAAGCACTGTAATGTTATTTGCATTGTATTGGTTTGAAACCAAAGGCTGTATTGAAATTTGCTAAGACTAATACAAGCTGGAAGATATAACTTGTATTTTCTACTTAAAAGCTGGTACAACTCTCTTTATAAATCTATTGTTCTGCTATAACTTTTCAAGTATGTACTGAATGGTAGACTTTTTAAAAATTAGAGTTGGGTGGAAATGCTTGTACAGTTGAACTGACATTCTGTGACATTCACACTTTTTGTAATCTTCTATTATTCCTGTATTTATGTGTCTTTATTTAAACAATTCTGCCATTATTCTTCTATGATTTTGTGACAAGTACATGCAGTTGCTTTTTTGGAGCCACATTTAGGGATTTATTGGTTCTCACAGATTCCAGTGGCTTCAGTAGAGCTATGTTGGCTTATACCTGCTATGGTTAGTCATATGGATCAGACAAGCCTACCAGAGCTTTTGTAATGGCTTTGAGTTAGCAATGTGCAACTATGACAGGACAACTGTAATTAGTGCTTCTGTTTTCAAGAGCTCCATTTCATGGTTATTATCTTTTTGGGTTGAAATTTCTGAAACTAGTCCACTGCCCTAGGGTATGCTTCCATGCTCCAAAAATTGTTCATAGGCTGTCTTTTGCACACAGGTCTGTGGCACGTGGTTAGTCCTCTGTGAGGAGAATGTACTTCAGCAAATTTATATTTGAATATTTTTCCTTGCAACTGATTTACTTGTTCAATTTCAATGACTAAAGAATTAAATAAATGGACTGGTGCATTGAAGTTTTCTTGTGGGGGGTGGAGCTATTGTAAAGTTGGAAGTGAACAACTGAAATCATGATGCCCTTAGACGAATCTGAATTAGCTGTGGATTATTTGGAAAACTGGTTGCAAACTTGTATCAGCTGAAAATTTGTCATGAAACGGCAAGGTAAGGTATGGTAGGTGATTGTAAAGGACTTGGAGTGTTAGAAATCCAAGTGGGAAAATGCCAAAGTAATGTTTCATTACTAAATTTTGGGTTTTGCTTGTTTAGGTGTTTGTTTTTTTTTTTTTTTGTTTTAGAGGTCTCTAAGCCATCATTTTATGTGCTTATTAAAAGCATACTTTCAGAACAGGTATTTTGTAGGTGTTAACAGAAGAAACTTGTGCTATTTCTTTAACTGTATTACATTTGTAGTGTAACACAGTGTTAACCCAAAAGTGGGACAGCAATGTCATTCCACCCCTTCTGGGTTACTGAGGATGAGCAAAATGCTCTCCCATGCCTGTCCCGCGGCGTTGCTGCCCCCATGGAGGGAAGGTCTCCAGCACTGAGGAGGGACAATTTCAGGTCTCCCTCGGCTGCCATTGTTTTGCCTTATCCGGAGCGCTGAATAAGTGCTGCTGGTGCAGCTGTTAGTCTGTGAATCGCCTAGGCAGCCCCATAGCCCGCCTGCTGTCGGAAAGGCCGGCGGATAACACAATAAACATCTATTTTTGTCTCGGCAGTACCACACACACGTTGCGCCGTTCCGCGAAAAGTCCCAGCCTGAGGGGC